AAAAAAAAAAAAAAAAATGCATTGACAATTACTGGTTTTTAGAATGTGAAAGCTGGAAACAAGAAAAAATATTAATAGTTAGAAAATATGGCCTTGATGATAGAAATGACACTGGAGATCACATGATAGAATTTTGTAAGACCAAGAACTTTCCCATTGGAAATACCATTTTCAACTACATAAACAACAACTACACATGGACCTTGTGGGATGGAATATCTTGGAATCAAATCAATTTTATTTCTGGAAAGAGATAATGGAAAAACTCAGTATCATCAATCAGAATAAGGACAGGGGTCAATTGTGGATCAGACCATCAATTGCTCATATGCAAATTCAAGCTGAAGCTGAAAAAAATTAAAGTAAGTCCATGAGAGTCAAAGTATAATCTTGAGTATATCCTACCTGAATTTAGAGACCATCTCAAGAATAGATTTGATGCATTTAACATCAATCTACATGAGTTTTGGATGAAATCAAGGACATCACACATGAAGAAAGCAAAATGTCATTAAAAAGACAGAAAAGAAGGAAAGACCAAAATGAATGTCAGAAGAGACTCTGAAACTTGCTCTTGAAAGTAGAGTAGCTAAAGCAAAGATTTCAAAGGGCTGCTCAAGAAGACAAAGTAAAGTACTAAAATGAAATGTACAAAGATCTAAAGTTAAAAAATAGAAGGGAATGAATATGCTTCACATTTCTCAAGCTGAAAAACTGAAGAAAAATTTTGAACTTTGAGTTGCAATATTGAAGGATTCTATGGGCAAAATATTGAACAATGCAGGAAGCATCAAAAGAAGATGGAAGGATACACACAATCACTTTATCAAAAAGAATTGGTCAACATTCAACCATTTTAGGATGTAGATATAATCAAGAACCAATGGTATTAAAGGAAGAAGTCCAAGCTGCACTGAAGGCACTGGTGAAAAACAAGGCTTCAGGAATTGATGCAATGCCAACAGAGACAGTTTAACAAATGGATACAAAGATGGAAGTGCACACTCGTCTATGCCAAGGAATTTAGAAGACATCTACCTAGACAATTGATTGTAAAACTCCATATGTGTACCTATTCCAAAGAAAGATGATCCAATGGAATGTAGAAATTACCACACAATATCGTTAACATCACACACAAGTAAAATTATGCTGAAGGTAATTCAAAAATTGTTGCAGCAGTACATCAACAGCAAACTGCCAGAAATTCAAGCTAAATTCAGAAGAGAATGTGGAACGAGAGATATCACTGCTTTTGTGAGATGGATCTTGATTGAAAGCAGAGAATACCGGAAAGATGTTCACCTGTGTTTATTGACTATGCAAAGGCATCTGACTGGGTGGATCACAGCAAATTATGGATAGCATTACAAAGAATATGAATTCCAGAATACTTAATTGTGTCATGAGGAACCTGTACATAGACTAGACTAAGAGGCAGTCCTTCATACAGGATAAGGTGATACTGCATGGTTTTAAATTAGGAAAAGGTATATGTCAAGGTTGTATTCTTTCACCATCCTTATTCAGTCTATATGCTGAGCAATAATCCAAGAACCTGAACTATGGAGAAGAACGTGGCATCAAGATTGAAAGAAGACTCATTAACAACATGAAATATGCAGATGATACAACCTTGCTCACTGAAAGTGAAGAGAAATTGAAGCACTTATTTATGAAGACCAAAGAGTGCAGCCTTTACTATAGATTACACCTTACCGTAAAGAAAACAAAAATCCTCACAACTGGACCAATAAACAACATCGTGATAAATGGAGAAAAGATAGAAGTTGCCAAGGATTTTATTTTACTTGCATCTATGGAAGTCAAGAAATCAAGCACCAGTCAAGAAATCAAGCAAAGATGTCACCTTGAGGACTAAGGTATGCCTGATCCAAGAGTACTATTTTCAATCACTTCATATGAGTGTGAAAACTGCACAATGAATAAGGAAGACTGAAGAAACATTGATGCATTTGCATTATGGTGTGGCTGAAGAATGTTGAATATACCATAGACTGCCAGAAGAAGGAACAAATCTGTCTTGGAAGCAAGTACAGCCAGAATGCTCCTTAGAAGCAAGGACAAGGAGACTCAATCTCATGTACTTTGGACATGCTATCAGGAGGGACCAGGCCCTCAAGGAGGACATCATGCTTAGTAAAGTAGAAAGTCAGTGAAAAAGAGGAAGACCTCAATGAGATGGATTGACAGAGTGGGTGCAACAATGGGCTCAAACATAGAAATAATTGTGAGGATAATGCAGAACCCAACACTGTTTCATTTTGTTGTAGAGTCAGTATGAGTTCAAACCAGTTGGATGGCACCTAACAACGACATAACAACAATTTAAGTGTAAAGAGCTATTCACAAAGCTAAATTTTACTGAAGGAGCTCTGGTAGCATAGTGCCTAAGGCACTTGACTGCTAACCAGAAGTCTGGTGGTTCAAACCCACCAGCCACTCCTTGAAAGGAAAGTTGAGCAATCTACTTCTGTAGTGATACTGCCTCAGAAACCCAAGGAGGGGTCACTATGAGTCAGGTCCGACTCGACGGCACATAACAACACAACAACAAATTTTACTGACACCATGAAAAATGTAATGTTAATGTTTATTCCAAGAGTCATCATTAACAAGGTCGCGTGTGTATTTTGACCATTTTTAACAACTACTTCCTGTTGCAATGGCACTTGACCCTAGGGAGGAATTTGGAGACATCTTCAACTGTAATTTCAAAACTGCAGCTACACCAACAACAAGGTGCCACCAGTTGGGCTATTTATTTTTGTTGGATGTATTATTTTATAGAATCACCCAATCATCACTGCAAATTATTGAAGCAGAATTTGATGATAACTATTGAAATCTGGTGGTGTAGTGCCTAAGGCATTTGACTGCTAACCAGAAGGCTGATGGTTCAAACCCACCAGCCACTCCTTGGAAGGAAGATTGGGCAATCTACTTCCATAATGATACTGCTTCGGAAATCCAAGGAGGGAGTCATTGTGAGTTGGATCCAACTCGATGGAAGTGACTTTGGTTTTTGGTATTTAAATCTACCTTTCTATAATATAAAATATTTCAATATATGGTAGAGGGAGACACTTTTAACCTATCATTCTTTTACTTTTACTTTTAGTAATGTGGCAGTACTTCCACAGTGTTCTTCTTATAAGATATGCCACAGAAAGAAATGGAGTAAATGTGATTAGTGGACCAGTATTTGATTATAATTATGATGGTCATTTTGATGCTCCAGATGAAATTACAGAGTAAGTAATATGAAACCAAATAAACTCTTTTTGATTTAGCAATAGGGTATCACAGGGGAAAATGCCAATATTTTAGATAAAAGCTCAGTATTCTAAGTGTTATATAATGCATTCATATACAGATGTTATTAATGACTCTCTTCAACCTGATTTACCTAAATATTTAGCAAAACTTAAATATAGCAAAAATGTAAATTAATGGGCAAAAGAAAAATGTTCTAGAAAAGTTTAGCAAAAATTTTATTTCACAAGTTTTTACACTAATGAGAGGAGGAAACGTGATTTTGTAAAGGTAAGAAGATAGAGAAGACTCATTGTGTTCTCAATAAAGATAAAACCAGACTGAAAAGAAATGAAAGGTAAAGCCTCTGCTACTTCCAGTAGAAAATGCCACAAAGAAGGACAAAGTTACAGAGGCTGCTTAGATACAACCAAGTCCCTCATGAGATTTGGTTTCTTGATTTGGAGATTTAGGCTCATGGTTTCATGTGACATCCCAGGCAATTGCTCTAATATCATTTTCAGTGCTTCTATCCTACCTCCTAGTTCCTTATGTAGTGCCTGGGCTCTTAAAAGCTTGCAAGTGGCCATTCAGGGTACAGTAGGTCTCTATTGCCTGGAGTAGCAGAGGAAGAGGGTGATTAAAGAATAGGAGAAGGAAATGGACTGCATACCTAATTGCTATAAATGCCTCCTGATTTCTGGTAGCACGGTGCCTAAGGTATCTAACTCCTAACCAGTAGGTTGGTGGTTCAAACCCACCAGCCACTCTGCAGAAGCAAGACTGGGCAATCTACTTCCATAAAGATTTGCCCCAATGGGGGTTGCTATGAGTTGGAATTGGCCCAAGGCAGTGGGTTTTTTTGTTTTTGTTTTTTTTTTGGTTTTTGTCATGAGGCCAGAGGAACTGGATGGTGCCTAGCCACCATTACTGATCATTTTGGTCAAAAATTCTATAGAGGAATTTTGATCAAAAGGGGGAAAATACAGAACGGAATTCCAAATTCTCATGAAACTCAAACTTTCTAGAGCCATTGAGGCTGGATGAACTCTGAAAAATGTTGTCCTGAGAAAATATTTAAACCCTGAATCAAAAACATGCCCTGGAATCTTTAAAACAATAAGCTTATTTAGTAAAGAAAGCTTACTTTAAATATTGTTTTGAAGTACCAGCTATATGAGATCAAACTGAGAACAGGAATTCAAAAGTTCAGATAAGAACCTAGGGGGACAGTGAGCTTATGTTAATGGCAGAAAAACAATTCAGAAAAGGACGGTGAGAATGATTGCATGACTTGAAAAGTATAATCAGTGTCAGTGAATTGTACATGTAGAAACTGCTGAATTTTTGTGTATGTTTTGCTGTGTATAGTTTCAACATAATAATTTTAAAAAAAGGAAGTAAAAAGTCAACAAAACTAGGGAAAACAGGATGCAGAATACCACACTCTGGTTTTCTTTGTATTCTATTTCCTCTTAATGTTACAATGACTCATCTTGATCTTCTACTATAGCTATTTGAAATCTAAAAATATGTGAGAAGATTCTACATTTTCTATTCATTTTACTATTTTTCACCTTGATTGTTTTTTAAAAATATGTAAGTATATTTGTAATCTTTAGAAGCAAAAGTATAATAACATCACAACTTTTCAATTATGTTTGTAGACATGTAGCCAACACCTCTGTTCCCATCCCAACACACTATTTTGTGGTGCTAACAAGTTGTCAAAACAAGAACCACACTCCCAGAGACTGCCCTGAGTGGCTGGACGTCCTCCCCTTTATCATTCCTCACCAACCAACCAACGTGGAGAGCTGTCCTGTGAGTATGCTCAGGAGAGTCCCTGGACCTGAAAATACCATTAGTCAGAACTTATCCGGACTTTCAAAGAAGTGGCTTTGACTAAAATACATTCTTGTAGGTGGTTCATGGGTAGAACTGTGCTGAAAATGTTTCAGTTTTGGGTGTTTCCTTGGATGATAGATCTCTATGAAATTAATATCAATTTAAACATGTATATACATACATGAGGAGCTCTGGTAGCGTAGTGCCTAACGGCACTTGACTGCTAACCAGAAGGCTGGCGGTTCAAACTCACCAGCCACTCCTCAGAAGGAAAATAAGGCAATCTACTTCTGTAGTGATACTGCCTCGGAAATCCGACTCAACGGCACATAACAACAACAACATACATGAACATGTGTTTATATAGGCATACTTTGAGCATTTTATTTATGAAATTTATTTATGAGATTTTATTATTATGAAATATTATTAAATTATTTATGATTTTATTATGAACTCATAGTCACACTCTCTAGTAAGAAAAGAGATGGTATCTTATTCATCTTCTATTCTGGGTACAAACTTTAAGATTCGGTTCTTAAATTTTGTTAATGTTTGTTGTTGTTGTTGTTGTGTGCCGTCGAGTCGGCCCCGACTCATAGTGACCCCTCCTTGGGTTTCCGAGGCAGTATCACTACAGAAGTAGGATTGCCCAACCTTTCCTTCTGAGGAGTGGCTGTTGGGTTTGAACCGCCAGCCTTCTGGTTAGCAGTCAAGTGCTTTAGCCACTATGCTACCAGAGCTCCTTTGTTAATGTTTACTCACTGAATATACAAATATAAAAACTGCATTAATTTGAAATACAAGGCTCCAGAATGACTACTAACCTAAAGACTGGTGGTTCAAATACACCCAGAAGTGCTGTGGAAGAAAAGCCTGGTGATCTGCTTCTTTAGAGATTGTTGTTGATGGTGTTGTGTGCCATTGAGTTGATTCTGATTCATAGCAACCCTGTATGAAGAGTATAATTGTCCCATAGGGTTTCCTAGGGTGTAATCTTTAGGAGAGAAGGTACCCAAATCTTTTCTCTCACAGAGATGTTAGTGACTTTGAACCAACAACCTTTTGATAGCAACTGAGTGCTTTAACCATTGTATCACCAGAGGTCCTTTATGGAAAAGGTATACCCAAGAAAATTCTGTGGAGGAATTCTACTCTGTAACACACGGGGTCACCATGAATTGCAATTAACTCCGATAGCAATGAGTTTGATTTACAGGTTGATATGTGTAAAATAAGGTTGTTCAAGGAATTTATTTTTTAATATGTAACTGTTGTTGTTGTTGTTATGTGCCATTGAGTCGGCCCCGACTCATAGCGACCCCTCCTTGGGTTTCCGAGGCAGTATCACTACAGAAGTAGGATTGCCCAACCTTCCTTTTGAGGAGTGGCTGGTGGGTTTGAACTGCCAGGCTTCTGGTTAGCAGTCAAGTGCCTTGGGCACTATGTTACCAGAGCTCCTAACTTTTTTGGATCAAGGCAAATCATATATAAAGAGTTACTCCAACTTGTATATATGCAATTATAGAAGCAAATATATATTCTGTTAAATGCTTTTTACGGAAGCCTTCAACAAATGTGTTGAGTAGCTACCTATTAAGTACAGTGTCATTATAGAAACTCTTTAGAATGTACCAAGGAGGGATACATGGTCCCTGCTCTCATATACAATTTTGTTACGTAAGTGAGAGAAAGGCACAAAAATAGCTCAATCAATATAATACAGGAATATTTTTAAAAAATTAAAAAGTAAAAGATATCTCAAAGTTTTGATTGCTAAATACTATTTTAAGGAGTTAGTGTTTTGAATTCAAGGTCAGAGAGGCACTTTCAATAAAAGTTTCATAAAATAAGGTGGGAGTAGGACTGGGAGCTGAAGGATGGGCATAAATTGAACAGATTGAGAGGACTAGGAAGCATCTTCCTTAAAACGTGTTCTGGTTCCCTAGTGCCACTCTGACAAGAATATACCACAAATGGGATGGCTTTAACAAACAGCAATTTATTCTCTTACAGTTCAGGAGGCTAGAAGTCTGAGTTCAAAGTGCCAGGCTCTAGGGGCTGGGTGAAAGCCCCTCAGCCTTGGGCTTCAGCTCTGACTCCTGCTCTCGGCCCACTGGAGCTGGAGGTATTTCTTCAGAAAGCTGCTGGTTGCTGAGGCTGAAAGGCCCAAGGTTGACAAATAAAAAGGCACAGTTCCATTGTTACCAAACCACAGGACAGGCCATTAATTTAAATCCATTGTAAGTCTCAAGGTCGGCAGAGCATGGCAGGGTGCTGAACAATGACAAGTCTACATGCAGGGTCCAAGTGTGCCATAAGCTAGAAACCATTTCCCAAAGCTTTTGCTTATATACAGGAAGCAGACCACATACCCAAAGCAGCTACTCAGCTGCTTGTGGTAGATCCCACGATGAATTTGATTGCCAGTCTCATCATGGGGAATAACTACCACCAGCTGCCCAGCCACTCAACCAGGCCCAGCCAAGTTGACACACAAACATAACCACCA